ATTCAATTCTCTTTTTCTTTTTGAAGAACATTTTCTAGAATAATTCTAATAATAATCAATATTTGTTGCTTGTATTTATGAATTTACTTGGAAAAGAAAGATAATGATTTCTCAAATTTTGCGATTAAATAAAGAGAGATATGTGCCTACGATAAAAGCTTCATAGGTTACACACCATATTCTATAATAACGTCGAAACGGAATAAAAAGACTAAAAGTTGATATAAGTACTCTTTGAAATTTTATCTCAAACAAAATTCTCTTTTCAAATATTGAACAGAGTCAACTGTATGAATATGTGTCCTAACAATACTATATCGGGTTGTGCATAACCTTTTGTTAGGGGGGTAGTGCTATAATTTCAAGTTTAATTGGTTGCATATCATTACGAATTTTTGCAATATTTCGAGCAAATTAAAGAGCAACTAATCGATTACGACTAGTTGATAAAAGTGAATTCATCAAAACAAATTCACTAATATTATTCTTCATCAAATTAAATTCATCATTTCCAATTATTTGTCCACGATAAACTTGTATTATATTTCGATTGTTACAAGTATGAATAAACTTTTCATATCAATTCTTTATCAACTTAACAATATCACTAATGAAAAATCGAAATGTAAATAACATATTAAAATCTTGTAAACGTAATGCTTTATTCAACATTCTATGAAAGCATGAATCTTGTGTGTATTACCAGATAGCTCTTTCTGCTGTATAATTCTTTTCAAAATCATCAATAATACTCATTTCTTGTGAATTATCTTTGTAATTATTTTTACAAATACCAACAAGTTCATTACGATCAGTCGATTTATGATTCATATGAACAAGAACTTCAATAAATAATTGAAATCAGATGAACACAGCATTATGAGCTTTAATAGCTTGTGCATCTTGAGTTAATACAGAAATCGAAAGTTCATTGTCTATTTTCGCTCGAGAAATTTGATCTCTTGATATTTGAGCAACAAGTTCGGAACGTATTACGAAAACACCCTTAATCTATTCAATAAAAAAATAATTATTAGATATAAATTGTATTTTAGAACAACATTCTACCTAACGATAATTTTTAGCC